GTGTTGGTAATGCTACTGGTTACTTCATAACTTCATGTTTACTTCATAACTAAACATGAACTGCTTATGTGACAGCAGATCAGTGTCATGAATACCAGTATACAGTATAAGTTCTTAAGAAAAAAATCTCAAGTCATCACTTGACTGTCTAGAGCAGTGTTGTTCTGTGTCAGCTCTAAGCAGGTGAGCTGCACAGCCTCCTTTAAAAGTCAGTGCAGAGAAAGGCTGTATTTCTTGGCACCGACTTGATGGATGATCAGATATAATGTACATGTGCGATGCAGTTAAGGTACCAGTGTGTTACACAGATGTCCTTTGTCTACATCTGAACCCAGGAAGGCAGCCAGGATTGTGTTGCTCGTGTTAGAATAATTCATCAATCTTGTGGCCTTTGTATGACTCCAATAAAAGATGGACCACAGGAGCTGGCTGTGGACTTGAGGAACTGTCCTGGAGTCTACATGCAGTCTGCGGACTGTTTGTTTGGACTACTGATTTAATGTATTTGAAAGCATAATGTTACCTTAAAACTTCATTGCTGTATCAAAATTAACACAAAAAGGATTTGGGATAATTCTTGGATTCTGTTGTCAATCTGGTTTTACAATTCTACTTTCAGAATTTTGGGATTTCTCTTCTGTTTTGTGATGACAGCAAGAGAAGCAGCTGATTGTATGAAGCAAAGATAGAAAGATTGTTTTGGGTTTTTATTATGAACAAATAAAACAGTCAAAACTTAATCAGTGAAATTCATGACTGTGTTTTGAAGACGTCTATGTGAAAATGATGCTGAATTTCGGTACAAAAGTTCGTTTAGGACAGGTGATGCAATACTGAAAATGCATTCTCTAGAATTGTCTGAGAATTTATTTGTAAATTTTACTTTCATGTAATTGTTAAGATCCTGAAATCTGTGCTAGAAAATCTATGGAGTGCTTAGGTTTGTTGGGTTTTATTTTGTTTGTTTTAATTGCTATTTCTACTGGGTTATGAGAGATCTTAGAGAGTCGAATCCTTAACTGTTCTAAAGCAGAGCTTCATGTCTTGACTCTGTCTCAAAAATCAAGTTATCAGCTAAGCACAAATACTTGGCCTTAAAGAAGAGGGTTTTTCATTATATTCCCTGAAAATCCCCATAAGCTTTCTTAGACTTGGTTGTGAAGAAGCATGTCTAGTTTAGATAAGATAAACTTAAGGCGTGTCCTCCCTGGGGAACGAAAAAGGTGGGTCTTTTACTAAACTAACGTGTAGTAAAATCCTATGACTACCAAGCAAGGGCTAATTTTTTTGTGAACTTTACAAAGTCATATTGAAACTGTTAAAGCTGCACTTACATTGGTGCCTTTCAGAAACTGGGCATCCATCTCTGTGTCCACTGGTGAAGCTGGGGCACAGGCTATGAAGCAGGGCAGAGACAAGAAGAAAATAATTTTGGGTTTAAGTTAACTTTAAAAACAACTGCCTTTATTACAGTGAACTCCTGAACACTCTTTAAAAAAATATTAAACACTTTGTTTAGCTTTAGGACTTGTGCTTAAAGTTATTTTTCGTAGGGTGGTTTGTGGGGTTTTTTTTTTCTTGTTGTTGTTAAGTAAGAATCTCTTGGGGTTTTTTTATTCTGATTTTAATGCTCCATGTGTTTGACCCTGACCTTTATTTTTACTTATGTATTTTTTATTTTGTAATTCTCTTCAGGCTTTCATTTAAAAAGAAGTGGTGGGGAGGGAAACATCTGTTATATAATTCATGAAAACTGTTGAGACTAAGTGACTATTGTGCAAATATGTACTGAACTCGGGTATTCAAATCTCACATACATAAAGGTGTTGGGGATCCTGAGGTGGGTGTCACATATTTCTTTACTCTTCAGCCTTCCGAGAATTCCTGTGAAGGAACTTGTTGTTCCTCCAATACAGGCATCAACAAACTCACTATACAGGTCATTTAAGTTTTATAGTTAAGACACTTCTTTCAAGCTGAATTTGCCTCTTCTCTTTTTTTAATTTAATCTCTCTCTCTGTTGTGCAAAGAGTTTCATTAACCCCCGTAGTCCACCTCAGTTGTCAGGTTCCAGTACTGGTTCTTAGTACAGCAGCAGAGGGGGCTGGGAGCTGTGAATGCTGCCATGCATAGCAGCAAATGACAGCCCCTCATCAATTCCGTGAAGGCATTTGCATTGTGGCTCAGGTAACTGCTTCTGAGGGGTTACCAGGGAACCTCTGAGCAGTCTCTGCTTGTGTGGAGACATCTCTTGGCTTATTCTGTGATCTGGTAAATACTGTGGTAAAGATGGGAGTTGTCATTACTGCTTAGCACTTGAGTTTGACGTTAATACTGTATTTTAAGTACCATTCTTCTAATACGGATTCCTAGTTTGCTAGCTCTGCCTTTTCTATGTATGAAAATCTTGGTTTGTTCTAAGGTACGTGTAATTATAAAGCAACATTCTATTTCTTCTGTGCAAGCATTCTAAATTATTAATGCTGAGAAGTTCTTGGCTTATATTGTTTTAACACAGTATTTTCAGAGGTTGAGTGGTAACTTTGAATTAGTTATACCTGTGCAGCTTTGGTTATTGTACTACAACAAAGATGCATGCGAGTGTGAAACTTGATGTAATATGCTACAAACTCATCAGCTGTATTAGAATACCATGTTAATTAAATTGGCAGTGTGGATTCTTTTGGTATTTCTTTAGGACTTTAGCTGTGTTTTAAAGAGACTAATCACCCTGGTTTTAAAGTTGTGTAGTTTTTGATTCTTTATTGGGAATGTGAATACCCCTCCAGTGAATTTTATACCAAAATAAAGGGAAAAATTTTTACCTTATTCAGACAAGACTCAGAATTACATAATGCCCTTGACTGATGATGTGCCAGTAGATAAATGCAGCATGTGTATCCCTTTTTCCCTTTGGTGTTGACAACAGAGATATTCCAAAAAGTGTCCTAGGGCTCTGATGTTCAAGAGGACTAAAGATAAACCACTCACCTCACGTAATACAGGGAATAAGGTTGCAACAACAGTTCTTAACTTAGAGTTTGAGGAGAGATGGAGTACGGACGATGCAATGTAAAATGTAATTGCTGTTTATCTTGTGTAAATCCAAGAATTTGAAGCATTACTTTGAGATTTGGGATCATTTAAGGTATGTTCTGACTTTTAAAACCTGATTTCATACAAACTACATTTTGAATCTCACTCATCTGACAAGATTCTTATTGGAATGATTTTCACAGATGAGGATCAAGCTGAGCTTGAAGTGCGTTACATACTGTCCTGGTTTCAGCTGGGATAGAGTTAGTTTTCTTCCTAGTAGCTGGTGCAGTGCTCTGTTTTGGCTTTAGCCGGAGAACAATGCTGATAACACACAGACGTTTTAGTTGTTGCTCGATAGCACTTACCCTGATCAAGGACTTTTCAGTCTCTCATGGTCTGCCAGTGAAGAGGGGTACAAGAAGCCAAGAGGGAGCAGAGACAGGACACCTGACCCAAGCTAGCCAAAGGAGTATTCCATACCACAGCACATGCTGCTCAGGATATAAACTGGCTGGGGAGGGAGTTAGCCAGAAGGGATCGATCACTGCTTAGGGCAGGCTGGGAATCTCAGTAGGTGGTGAGCAATTGTATTGTGCATCACTTGTATTTTCTCTTTTCTGTTGTTCCCTATTATTACAAGTATTGTTATTGTTGGTATTACTTCTGTTATTTTTATGATATTTTACTTAATTACTAAACTGTTTTTATTTCAACCCACGATTTTTACATTCCTCTGATTCTCTTCCCCATCCCACTGGGGAGTGGAGAGCAAGTGGCTGCGTGGTGCTGAGTTACCAGCTGGGTTTAAACCACGACAGTCCTTTTCGGTGGCCTAACGTGTGGCATGAAGGGTTGAAATAACAACAGACCTGACTGGAGCATCTCAAACCAAATTTGTTAAAAGTGTTCATTGTATTTGTTTAGTAGTCACTGGTCACAATGGTGCCTTGTTTGTTTTCAGAATGGTTCGCTAGGTGATGTTGTTCCGGTTATACGTGCTCCCTGCAGCGATGTTCATCCGTGGGGCTTGGGCTCAGGTTATAATGTTGTTGTATGCTGTAGTGCTATGTTATGATATGATGGAATCGCTGGTCATGAGACTAATCTGGTGTGTGCACTCAGTATTGTCGTCCCCTTTGTCCCTCGGGAGCCATCTGTTGGGAACCATTAACAATTGCGCCTTTGGCACCGGTAGCAGAAGTATCTTCCTACGGCTTCTGTCCTTGCTTTTTGTCTTTGTTCCATCCTTCCGTTTTCACCTCCTTTCTTCCAATATCTTCGTTCTCCTCCAGGATATTTACAGAAGTATCTGAGAGTTTTAAAGATTTTGAATATTCTCTGGATACCCTTGAAACCAGCCTGTTTCTTTTGCTAGTAACCAGCATGGTTTTGAGTATAGTTCAGATCTTGCTTTGGGTTAAACAGCGACGTTTGACTACTTCAGCCCTTGTTTCAGTTTTCTACTCAATGCTGATGTGAGATGGAGGCACAGTAGCATTGTCTGGATCTCTGTAAGGTGAAAGCGGTAGAACCTTTCCATGCAGTTGTGATACCAGACATGTATTGTTTCTTTGGATACAGTGAAACTGGTTTGACATTTTTAAACACCAGTTAGATACTAACACGTAAAATAACAAGCATGCCCAAAAAGGATGGACAGGCAAAATACTATGTATAGAAACACTGCTTCCTTTAAAACTTACTTTAAGTGTATCTTTCCCTGTGGGGAAAAAAAAATGGAACTGCTTTTAGAACTGGTGTGTTATTTTCACAACTTTCTGGCAGTGTTCTTTAGAAGTATTTGTGCTTGGAGGTTATATTTAGAACTGGTTTCAGGGGGGTGGTGGTGTTCTTAAATACACTTCTTGCAATAAAATTGGGAGATGGTCTTTTACGCCTAAGTGTGGAAATTGTTTACATCAGAGTATTTTAAAAGTTGAACCTTTTTCTCTGTAGGTGCACCTGTAGAGACTTCTCCAGAGGAGCAGACAGCCTCTTGTGAAGGTAATTGGGTTTGTGTTCTGATGGTACACAGCACAGCTCCATTAAACATGACTTCAAAAAAATATTGCAAAGAATATTTTTTTATTTTTTAATCTCTATGAGCCATTTCCAATCTTCATTCTCTGAATCCTCACACTACTATTGTAAGGCAGTGTGGTTATCTCTGGCTATTTACAGCTTAAAAGCCAGTCAAGCAAGGCACATAAAGACCAAGTGGTTTATTGAAGGTCATAAAGCTGCATGAAGCAGAATCTAAAAAGTTGAATCTGTATATTAAATATAGCATTGGCAGGTGCCCAAATACATGATAAATATGTGTCCTTAATTATACCTTTTTTTTTTTCCCCCATAGGTTCAAATGCTGCTGTTAACATGGAAATTTCAGAATCTGTTGGTAAGATGAGAATTGTTCCATTTCAGTATGATAGTACTATAAAATACTACTAGAGTGCTTTTGCTGAAGCATTGCAAACAAAATCGAAGAATATCAAGCCTTTGTATTTTTGGTCCTTACTAATTTTCATTGTCTCTTCATCCTTAGATTAGGAAAGAGGTAACTGAACACTAGTGTGCATTGACAGGTGCAATTGGATTACTTTGACGCTGAAAAAGCATCAGTGCTTTATTTAAAATTAATTTCATATTACAAAATAGTGCCATTGCTATATGTGACATGGAAATTGTATCTTCCTCCTTGTATTTATATGGCTTTTGAGGGAACATAAACCATTATCCCTCACCTTTTCTTCCTAACCATACAGTAGCATGTGTCTGTGGATTCAGACTAGCATGATGGTATGAGGGGACCTTTAGATTTCTTTTTTTCTCTTGTAAAATTGTTGCCTTTTTAAAACAGAGGTGTCTTAATCCCTATGAATCATAGTTTGCTGATGTCAGCACATAAGCTAGTTTGAAAGCTCTCAGTAATACTGTTTTCAGAAATGAGCAGCAGTTGCCCATTTTTATATAGAAAGACATTAACATACTGGGTAGTTGAAGTCTTTTGACTGCATCTTTGGGGCAGGGGCTTTTCTCAATAGTCATTGCTTTTAATTTCATTATCTATTCCAATATATATAACTGATTAATTTTTAGTGGAAAATGGAGAGACGGAAATGTCCCCAGAAGAGTCATGGGACCACAAAGAAGAAACAAGTGAAGTAGAGCTAGGAAGTGGTCCTGCAGGGGATGCAGGGCCCTCTGAAGAAAGTGCTCAGGAAATGATGGAAGAGGAGGAAGAAATACCAAAACCGAAATCTGTTGTAGCACCGCCGGGTGCTCCTAAAAAAGAGCACGTAAATGTAGTATTCATTGGGCATGTAGGTAAGTTTTAAGTGAATGTGAAGTAATTGGATCTTTGTGTTGTGTATTACCTAGAACTCTGAGGATTAAAAATGAATTCTGCTCTTTGTAGGGATGTACGTATTCACCATGTCTTGAGGTTAATAGGAACATTCATTGAATTCACTGAAGCTGCTCTGGAGAAATGAAAAAACTTAAAGGAGGTCTTTCAGGGGTAGAGTGACAAAGATAGAGTGCCTGTGTTCTCTGGGACACAGCAGTGTGTGTTCGTCATTTCTCAAATACCTGCTCCCTTGAGTGCTTAAGTGACATATCTGTGATGATAATCCAAAAAAAAAAAATTGGAAAGCAGTGATCCTTTTCATAGAATCATAGAATAGTTAGGGCTGGAAAGGACCTTAAGATCATCTAGTTCCAACCCCCCTGCCATGAGCAGGGACACCACACACCCAAGGCTCTGTCCAGCCTGGCCTTGAACACCGCCAGGGTTGGAGCATTCACAACTTCCTTGGGCAACCCATTCCAGTGCTTCACCACCCTCACTGTAAACAACTTCTTCCTTACATCTAACCTAAACTTCCTTTGTTTAAGTTTGAAGCCATAACCCCTTGTCCTACCACTACAGTCCCTAATGAAGAGTCCCTCCCCAGCATCCTTATAGGCCCCCTTCAGATACTGGAAGGCTGCTGTGAGGTCTCCACGCAGTCTTCTCTTCTCCAGGCTGAACAGCCCCAACTTCCTCAGCCTGTCTTCGTACGGGAGGTGCTGCAGCCCCCTTATCATTCTCGTGGCCCTCCTCTGGACTTGCTCCAACAGCTCCGTGTCCTTTTTATGTTGAGGACACCAGAACTGTACACAATACTCCAAGTGAGGTCTCACAAGAGAAGAATAGAGGGGCAGGATCACCTCCTTTGACCTGCTACTTGTTTTAAATATTTTCAGAGGGTTCTTTTAATTGTTATTATACTCCAGAATTATTGTTTAAAATATTAAAAACTGTAGAGACATAAAATAGTTGAACATAGTAGATGAACATAATTCAGAGATAAAAGAAGCATTTATGGCAAATTGTCCCAATTGAATAGCTTCAACAAGCTTCTGAAAAATCCACAGTCATGTCAGAAGTACAGAAAAAATATTGAATCATGAGTTTTACAGTGAATTCTGTATCTTTGTTTGTGTAGTCTCATATCACCTTAAAAGTACTGTAACTTAATCCTCGGATAATTCAGAGTGGAGTCGTAGAGAGTACAGAGGCAGTGGGCAGAGGTAATGTCCCAGTACTGAAGCACAGCCTACAGAAGTTAGAGTAAGGGAGAAAGGAAGCAGAGAGAGGGATTTTGCAAGAGCTTCCCACACTCTTCACTCACACTTTTGCTGGATCAGTGCTTGTTGGGGTTGTGTTTTTTTTTGTTATGGATAAGTTTGTGTATGAAAACAGATTTTTCAAAACTCAGTGTAATTGAATGAACAGTGAATAACTATGAAAACAAGGGAAGCTGAGAAGTGACTCAAAAGACTTAGATTGCAATTAAAAAAATATATCTTTAAATAAATTAGATGACCTTATTTATAATTTGTTTGGGTTTTTCGCCTAGGATTTTCTTTTAAATTATGGATGTCTTAATTTTGTTTAAATGTTTTTTGTTTTAGATGCTGGCAAGTCAACTATTGGAGGACAAATAATGTAAGGGAACTTAAAGTTTTTAGGATTTGCTGTTCTTTCTTGTGAATTAAAAATACATTAAGTAAAATGAGTAATATTTTCTTTATGGCTTTAATCAGCATAGATTAATATTTTTATAATAAAATGTTACTCTTCCTGTCAACTTAGTTACTTATTGTCCTTGGACTTTCTTAATTCCAGCAGATCTAATCTAACCACTATAGGAGTTTCACTTACTTAATGGAAAAAACTGTGCAAAGGCATACGTTATTAAATCTAAAAAACCCTGAATCCCTTTCTTAGAACATGACACTCTTTTTCTTCATTATTTTAAAATGCTGTTTGAAACTGCTTTATACCCTTTGTTAACTTTGCCTTTTTGGGGAAGATTTAAAACCCCCCCGAATATCCTTATTCCCTGGTGCTAATGCTGTCAGGCATAATTTGATTTCAAAATGTGAAATTATAATAGTTAATCTTTAAGTCTATTTTAGAAACAGTATCCAGAGTCTGTAATATTTTTGAGACAAAAATAAATAAATGCACCTATATCTAGCAGTTTATGAAAAGCCAAGAAATGGAAAGTTGTGCACGAAGAATAAATTCTCTCCTCCTGATGCAAAGTATTGCTATGATTTTAAAATAATGTTTCGGCAAAAGTGGGAAGTGTTTGTCTTGGTATCTTGTTTTGTTTTGACCAAACTGGAATGTTGGAATTGTCATGCTACATTTAACCTTGTATTTCGTGCTACAGCAAATTAGCATTTAGTGTCTGATTGGTTTGAGTATTATCCTTGTATGAGGAGATGCTTATTCTTCACACTCCTACCAATGTGTTATGTTCCTAAAGCTTTATGTGGTCTTTCGTTTTTGCAGAATATCCCTTCGTTGTAAGGGTGGGAGGGAACTGGGTGCTTTTACCAACTTTGTTATTAACTTTTTATTTATTCTTATCATACTTAAACTAAGTAGATTACTGTTATTAGAAGATCAAGTAGAAATATCTGAGGGAAAATATTAAAGTTTTAATATAAAAAATCTGTACACTACTCACTGCTTTTCATAACTGGAGGATCTCTCTTAAAATAACCAGTTTCCTTGCTCTATCTAAAGAGAATAAAACCAAAAATATTTGTGTGTGAAAAATTCTTGTCACAATTTTTACTTAATTTTGAAACATTGGATTAGTCTCAGAAATGGATGTAACAGATACAGTTCCTTTTCAAAACTTGTCTATGTAGAACATTTTACAATTAGGCTTAAAAAAATACTTTCCTCATACTTTTGCTAAAGTGGTACTGGTGTAATTTTTACATATCGGATAATTATGTGGTTTTTGCAGAGAGAAAATTCCACTGCTGCTTGCATCAGGGTGTTAAAGTTTTTCAAAATGATCTCTAGGGATTGTACAACTATTTAATGATTTGGAATTGTGGTTCTACTTTATATAAAATTGCACCTTCTTCCCTTCCCCTTCTTAGGTATTTGACAGGAATGGTTGACAAAAGAACACTTGAAAAATATGAAAGAGAAGCTAAAGAAAAAAACAGAGAAACATGGTAAGAACTTTCTGAAGGTAATCCTCATTGCACTGAGATGAAAATGGGAAACTGTTCTTTTAGTCTCTGTCCCTGTAGCACTGCCTTCTTGCTGGAATGAGTTTTGAGCATGTGTGTGTGTGTGGAATACCTTGTTTTCCTCCAGTACTTATTTAACTAAAACTGTATGAAATAGTGTGATTCACGTTGGAAGAGATTTTGCTGCTCTAGTGCTTTGGTAAACTTAGTTGGTAAAAACAGACACAAGGCAGACACTTTCCTTGGGAAGTCCTGGGATTATTCTGTCTATATGTCTTTCACCTGTGAACAGCAGACAGATATCTAAGGGACAGGGATTAAAGTGGTCGGTTTGGCAGACATGAGAAGAGAGCAAGTGAATGGTTTTGGCTGTCACCTTATTTTTATATGAATAAAGATAGGATCTGCAGTTCTTAGGCTTCCTTCCAAGCAAGACGATGCTGCTGTCATGTTTGGATTTTTTGTGGGCCTCTTGTTTGTTTTGGGTTTTGTTACTGTCTTTTGGGTTTTGGTTTTGTGTGTGTGTATACAGCACATACAGCAGCCTTTTTTCTCCTTCAAACAACTCCTGGAAAATGGATCTTCCTTTTGGAAGCTTTCAATTTTTGGCTGTGGTGGAGGAAAACGGGGGTTCATAGGGCTCTGGAAAAGAAGCAGCTGAAGACTTTCCTAGGATTAGAGGAGCAATCAAGCACTCATGGCACTCAGTGCTCCTTAATTGTATTATGTGTGGTGGGTGATAGGAAGGGTGACAAGCATCATCCCCCTGTTGGGAGATGACAATAGTAATAAATATTTCAGGTTCTTCCATCAAAACCCCTGGCCAGCTGGAAAAAAGAGATTTCCTTTCCCCCTCTTTTAGAGAGTTGCAGGAAGTGCCTCCTTGAATGCTATTTTTATTCTTTAAAATATGTCTTGATACACAACAAAGTATGACATACCTCTGTGTCATTATTAAAGGTCTTGTATGTGAGGGGAGCTGGCACTGGGCACTACAGCTCACTATATATACACAAAACACTGAACAAAAAGTCACTGTTGATCTTGGAAGTGCCTAAGTTCAGTAATGATGAGGTGGTTAAAATAGTTGAGCAAAAAAAAACCATGATGAACAAATTGTCATACATAAATTTAGTAAAAAATAATACAAAAATAGAATGTTTGTGGGGTTTTTTGCTTTTTCTAGGTACCTTTCATGGGCCTTAGACACAAACCAAGAAGAACGAGACAAAGGTAAAACAGTAGAAGTGGGTCGTGCCTATTTTGAAACTGAGAAGAAACACTTCACTATTCTAGATGCTCCTGGACATAAGAGCTTTGTTCCAAATATGATTGGTGGGGCTTCTCAAGCTGATCTTGCTGTTTTGGTAAGGCTAAACCAGATTCTTTTCTGTTAGATATACTGTGGAATTAGGCTTTTGATTTTTTTAGGTTTATTCTTTTGGTTGGTTACAGTGAGCAGAATTTTCAACTCTGAAGTCTACCAGGTTGAGTGGATTTTTGAGTAACTTCACACTTCATAGAATTGTCCACAGGTGTCATGAGACTTATATATATACATATATATATGCGTGTGTGTGTATGTGTATATATATATATATATCAGTGCAGAAACTCATGGGTAATATTGTAGATACTCCAGTCAGAGTATTTGGAAAGCTGTTACTAGTGTTAACTACCCAAAGTTATGTATGAATAAGGCAGGATTACCCATTGTTGATCATTTCACTGAGAGAATTGTAGAACTTTTATTAAAATGTGTGTTTTTAATAGGTTATTTCTGCAAGAAAAGGAGAGTTTGAAACTGGATTTGAGAAAGGTGGACAAACAAGAGAACATGCCATGTTAGCAAAAACAGCAGGTGTAAAGCATTTAATAGTTCTTATTAATAAAATGGATGATCCAACTGTAAACTGGAGTAATGAAAGGTGAGTTTAATATAAAAAAAAAATCTTTGTCACAATGTATGGAAGTAAGTCCTAAGTAATTTTTTGCATCCTGTTTTTGCTGAAAGAATGGTAGACTGGTGGACTTCAAGACAGAGTTTATCAAAATTGCAGGAAAACCAGAAGCACAGTGCCTCTCAACTCAGCTTGAAGTTCTACACTACGTACTTTAAAACATTCACTTTTACCTGTTTGGCTCCGTGCAGCCATGTCTAACAAATCCAGACATTCTAACATAGTTTAGTTGTTGACTTGGAAACTTTATGCTGGACCAGAAAGGAAGTGACTGTTCTCAGTAGTTCAGTTTGCCAGATTCTTGGTTGCTTGGCCACATTTCTGCTGCACGCCTAGCTTAGGTTTGGTGAGAACAGCAGTATCCTGTTCATCTGATGTGTCCACCCTGAATTACTTGGCTGCCTTCTTTTATGATAAGCTGCACTGAATAAGCAAGTCATGTATTTAAAGTGGTTTGTGATTACAGTCTGAGAAGGGGGAAGGGAGAGAATTTTGTGATGGTACAGGCCAAGTAAAAATAACTAGAAGTAATATAGAATATTTAAATAACTAATAAAAAGGATTAAGTTATTCTTTTCTGCCTTAATGCTCAAACATTACTAAAGGGTTTTCATTTTCCTAAGTGGCAAAACTTAGGTCTTTTTATGGCTTCTGTCACATCTTTCTTATCGCCCCTTTAAGCTGGATGCTAAAAAGTGTAACTCAGCCCTTCAGGAGATGCTTGTGTAATGACAGGATACCGTTTTCTTCTACATATAACAAGAGTTGTCAGAGAACTTGCTATGCTGTCAAGAATAGTGAAAGTTTTTGTGGAAAGCTGTGAAGGACTGTGCAGCGTTCCATCATCAGCCTAGTTCACTAAGAGAATAAGGCATGCCCACTTGTGCTGTCCTGCTCCTGCCCCAGCCTTCTGGCATCATTGAATTCAGCTGAAACGAACTGAGGAGAAGCAGTATAAATAAGTAGCATTAAATCTTAGGAAGCTATGTAGAAGATTGGAGGAAACTAAGTCACCACTAAAGTGAAAGCCTGCAGCATGACCTCAGTAGCTGTTTGCTTGGTCTGTCCTGCTAGCTTGGCCTGGATCTCAGCATATGCTGCTGCTTACCCAGCTCCATAATTGAGGTATATAGGGAAAACTGATGATGTATTATGGAGCAGAGGAGTGAGGGAGAATAGACAACACCAAGTTGTGCTGGAAGACTGGGGAGAAGATGCAAATAGGTCACTAAGGTTATTAGGTTTGCTTGCTGCTCACATAATAACGAATGAAATTACTGTGGGGTTTGTTTTTTTTAAGGCATAGTATTACGTCATGATGAAATAATTGAAAACATCTCAATCTGCTTGTCATATTTAATAGATACGAGGAATGTAAAGAGAAACTGGTGCCATTTTTGAAGAAAGTTGGCTTCAATCCCAAAAAGGATATTCATTTCATGCCCTGCTCAGGACTGACTGGAGCGAACCTTAAAGAACAGTCAGAATTCTGTCCTTGGTATATGTATGTATCTTAAATTGAACAACTTGGATATTTGCTGTATTTCAATAAAAGTAAATGCTACCTTGCAGCTAGGAAGGAGTGTTGTAGCTCTGTTCTAAAGTGCTTGAGGAAGTACAGTTGGAGCAGCAAGAAGAGAGCTGTGCAATGAGCCAAATAAAAGCAGTATCTAACTGCAAAGGCTTAAGGTTAGCAGGCTCTATGATAGTATTAACAGTACTCTTTGGCTTTGCGAGTTTTGAATTTTCCGGTGATGCTGCAGTTGACATGTTGCTAAAATGAGTAATAGTTTGATGTGAAGTTTGCTTGTAGCTGTATTATAATTAGTGACAAGCCATGTCTTTCACTGGATGTCATGTTTTCTGATATTGTTCATGGCAGATATTAATGAAAATCATGTTTGGACCTAGCTTATGGTTTTGTATTTCCAAAGCATATTGCACATCTAGCAAGATTCTCAAAGGAATAATCAATTTGTGTAAAATTTGCCTGTAATGTAACTTAAAAACTACATGTATTTCCTGAGAACCAACCTGTCAGCCAGGGTAAAGTGGACACTAATGATTGGATGTTAGGATAGATTTAACTGTCTTAGAGGTCGCTGTTCTTATTGATGAGAAGGAAAATAATTCCCTTTGTTGGGCTGCATTTATCCATTCTGAATAGTTTTGCAACAGAAGGGTGATCATGAAATTGAAACAAATGCCTTTGCTCTTTTAGTGGACTACCATTTATTCCATACCTGGATAACTTGCCAAACTTCAACCGTTCAGTTGATGGACCAATAAGGCTGCCAATTGTGGATAAATATAAGGTACAAATTAATGGGATTACATTATAAATAGGCTGTTTTCAGAAAGCAGTAAATGGACTATTTAGTGTATTTTTAGCGGGTATATTTTTTCTTTGATATATCTACATTTCCAACTGTAGCATAGAGACAGGGAGGGGAAGTAAATACTTTCTGGCATTATGTGAGACTCCTCAAATATGTGATCTTTCATGAGAACAGTTTCCAAACAATTAAGTATAGCAATGCTAAATCATAGAATCATAGAATAGTTAGGGTTGGAAAGGATCTTAAGATCATCTGCCATGAGCAGGGACACCACACACTAAACTATGTCACCCAAGGCTCTGTCCAACCTCGCCTGGAACACCGCCAGGGTTGGAGCATTCACAACTTCCTTGGGCAACCCATTCCAGTGCTTCACCACCCTCACTGTAAACAACTTCTTCCTTATATCTAACCTAAACTTCCCCTGTTTAAGTTTGAAGCCATTACCCCTTGTCCTACCACTACAGTCCCTAATGAAGAGTCCCTCCCCAGCATCCTTATAGGCCCCCTTCAGATACTGGAAGGCTGCTGTGAGGTCTCCACGCAGTCTTCTCTTCTCCAGTAACTTCGTAGGGTTAAGAAATCATGCATAGAGTTAAATAGAGCAGAGTCTTTTGGAAAATGTTTTCCATTTTTATGTAACTTCTTTTTTTTTTCTTTTTTTTGTGTGTGTGTCTGAAGGATATGGGCACTGTGGTCCTTGGGAAGCTGGAGTCGGGCTCTATTTGCAAAGGACAACAGCTTGTAATGATGCCAAACAAGGTATAGTTAGATTTAGATATTAAAAAATGTTACTACCCAAAAAAAGAGCTTGAATCTTAAATATATTTATTACTTTAAATCAGAACATTTTCTGTTGCTCAGTTGAACACAACTAAGCTTTCATGTTTCACATGTGTGATATTTCCAAGTGTGTGTGTGTAGTTCCTTAGAATTCAGAATGCAGCTTGTCTCTCCTTAGTAAACTCAATTCCTGGGCTGCAAATCATTGTAGTTTATGTGAACTGTGGTTTATTTTGCATTTGTGCTTTGCATTTTTGGCCTGCAAAACCTTTTTCTGCTAGGGTGACTGTTGCTCAAAACTTTCCTTGTATTTTATTTTTTTTATCCTTTCCCCTTCCCCCTTTTTTCTTTCCTCAAAGGGAAATAGGAAAAAAATTTAAAGTATGCAATCAGTACACTGTGTTCCAATGAAAGACCTAAAGTTTGCTTTAATTAAGTATAGGTTGGTTGTGCAGGTAGGTGGCTGTTCTATAATGTAAGATCACTATTTGGAATCATTGTGCTGCCCTGAAGAATGCAAAAATTTAAAAATGAAGGATGTGAAAACATAGTTATGAAAACATAGGGGAAAGGCAGTGGATGAGAGTAGTGTGCTCAGCTAATGGTGGCATTTGCTTCCATTGGTTTCTTATAAAAAGGGTTTGGAAATGTTGTTCTTACCTATCTATGTCATCTCGATTTAACCTGACGCGCTTTTCTAATTCCATAGGCTGAGGTAGTTTGCTAGAAAATGTCTCAATACTCAAATGTGCAGTAACTCTACAGCCTATTGAAAGTTGGTATTTCCTAAACAAAATATACTAATTAGACTGACTTCCACATCACTCTTCTCAAGAGCTGCTGAAAGTTAAAACTAAGCTTAGACAGTTTGAGATTCTGCTTTTCAGGTTTTAAGGTAATTTTGCAGACAATGGCTTTCAATAAAACTGCTTGACATGCATCTGACACCCATGTGATTTTGGGGTTGATTAGGAGAAATGTATAAACTGTAAATGGCTGTAACTGAACAGTTACAGAATTCTCAGCAAATAGCTAGTGCTTTTGATGACGTTTTTTTTTTCTCATTTCTTTGGCAGCTAGTGAGAATTGAAAAACTTTAGGCAGCCAGAACAATAGACCTTTCTGAAACAACTCCTTAACTTATCTGCCTTTCCAGTGTTTAATTTTCTGTTGGTAACTAGTACTGTGTGAAGGTACAAAAATCAGAAGAGAGGTTACAACTCAGAGGAATGTGAGGAAATACATTTTGGTGTTTGCATAGATAGTGTTCATTAATATGCATTTGGTATTTTTATCTTCTCCAGGAAACTTTGTAGAATTTTGGGATTCAGGAATTTCCTGGATTATGTTAGTATTCAGACTGTTACATTTTGCATGTAGCAAGTCTATACAACAGTGTGGCTATTGCATTGTTCTTAGTTAATATGCATCATTGTATCTCCCATCTCTTTATAAGTTTTAAACTCATTTCACTTTGAGAAATAGTGGATGTTTTTGAAATTTGCTTTCCATTGAATATATACCATAGAATTATATTAAAATATAAATTAAATTATTT